AATGTGACATGGGAAGCACCATGGGAACAAATCATATATGTTAATGTGACATGGGAAGCACCATGGGAACAAATCATATATGTTAATGTGACATGGGAAGCACCATGGGAACAAATCATATATGTTAATGTGACATGGGAAGCAACATCATATATGTTAATGTGACATGGGAAGCATCACGGGAACAAATCATTGATGTTAATGTGACAAGGGAAGCATCACGGGAACAAATCATTGATGTTAATGTGACATCATATATGTTAATGTGACATGGGAAGCATCCAAATGGGAACAAATCATATATGTTAATGTGACATGGGAAGCATCCTGGGAACAAATCATATATGTTAATGTGACATGGGAAGCATCACGGGAACAAATCATATATGTTAATGTGACATGGGAAGCATCACGGGAACAAAACAAATCATATATGTTAATGTGACATGGGAAACACCGTGGGAACAAATCATATAGGTTAATGTGACATGGGAAACATCACGGGAACAAATCATATAGGTTAATGTGACATGGGAAGCATCACGGGAACAAATCATATAGGTTAATGTGACATGGGAAGCATCACGGGAACAAATCATATATGTTAATGTGACATGGGAAGCATCCTGGGGACAAATCATATATGTTAATGTGACATGGGAAACATCATGGGAACAAATCATATATGTTAATGTGACATGGGAAGCATCACGGGAACAAATCATATATGTTAATGTGACATGGGAAGCACCATGGGAACAAATCATATATGTTAATGTGACATGGGAAGCACCATGGGAACAAATCATATATGTTAATGTGACAAGGGAAGCATCCTGTGGACAAATCATATATGTTAATGTGACATGGGAAGCATCACGGGAACAAATCATATATGTTAATGTGACATCCCGGGAACAAATCATATATGTTAATGTGACATGGGAAGCATCACGGGAACAAATCATATATGTTAATGTGACATGGGAAGCATCACGGGAACAAATCATATATGTTAATGTGACATGGGAAGCATCCAGGGAACAAATCATATATGTTAATGTGACATGGGAAGCATCAAGGGAACAAATCATATATGTTAATGTGACATGGGAAGCATCACGGGAACAAATCATATATGTTAATGTGACATGGGAAACATCACGGGAACAAATCATATATGTTAATGTGACATGGGAAACATCACGGGAACAAATCATATATGTTAATGTGACATGGGAAACATCACAAATCATATATGTTAATGTGACATGGGAATCATATATGTTAATGTGACATGGGAAGTACAAATCATATATGTTAATGTGACATGGGAAACATCACGGGAACAAATCATATATGTTAATGTGACATGGGAAGCATCACGGGAACAAATCATATATGTTAATGTGACATGGGAAGCATCCTGGGGACAAATCATATATGTTAATGTGACAAGGGAAGCATCCTGGGGACAAATCATATATGTTAATGTGACATGGGAAGCACCATGGGAAACATATCATGTTTAGTTAATTATGTTATTGGCAACAAATTATTTTTGAAGCATAACCATCATGAAAGTTCAGTAGAGACTGCCAAAAGACAGTCGATTTACCATATCCAGTTCATGAAATGATTCTCAAAAACAAAGGAACAAATTAAAGTGCCACTGATAGTGAGATACAGTCTTCAAGAAACTTGCTGTAAAGCCATTCACCCTTCCTGATCTTGATGGAAGCGCGAGGATGTGGAAGAACTGTGTAACCTGGAGGAAATAGTAAAGCAGGCGATATCATTTGACATCTTCGATTGTTGTTGGGAAAGGCGAAATACTCCTTGTATTCTCATTGTAACTTACGTAAAATGAAAGAGAAAGAAATATGAAACATTAATAGATAAATGAATAAACAAAAATAAAAAAAAAAAATAAATATGGTCGTTAAGGAATGTGGATGGGTATTTTTTTTAGAAAAAAAAATATGTTTTCATTGTCGGAGTACTTCTTTATAGCAAATGTATTTTGTAACACAATGACTAAACACAGTGTTTACTTGGGTTGACCGAAACGTTTATTTCATCGTATAGTGGTTTTCCATAGTTAATACTTCGCGTTAGTATCCATTACAAAAGATAGTTCCTAATCAACATACAGCATCATGTCGTGGCACCAAAACTAAACACCTGTGTAAGGCAGACAAAAACGAAAAACCTGCCCGTCCATATCAAAGAGTTCCATACAAAATTTCATGGGCCAACTTGGCCAGGACCCGCTCCATCGCGGAGCAGGTCCCCTACGGGACTCTGCCCGTCTCCACGTCCGACTCCCAACTCTCTCTAGCTACTCGATCCCAGACTCAACTACACTTCTGCTGGCTATTATCTTTGTATAAATAATACCCAAATACTTAATTTAAGCCTAGTCCCAATTGGACAACAATAACCCAGCCCCCGGAGCATCTAATTATGAAGGCACGTGCGACTAGGAGTACCCGTTATCAACTTCCTATCTTTGATCTACCTTATACATTGTTTCTTATCTTGTTTACCTACAAATGTGTTCGCCAGCGCGAGGCATACACGAGAGCATCTATCTGTCCTGATCAATCATACTGGCGATATTCTGCCACGGTGCTTCACCACTTGGGTACACACCCCGCCCGTTATCAGGCGTGCATCACTATCTATCACTCACGGGATCTTTTCCTCGGTCCAGCATTAACTGACTTTTGACCTGATGTACTTTAAATTAAGATGCTGCTCTCTACGATACACACCATTCCAAAATTACCATTAAACCCATTTTTTACTCATTTTGTTACAATTTTCAATTAATCGAAGGAAAATATGTGGCCAAGTTGTCTAATTTTATTAAGAAGTAGGCTGGTTTGATGACAACAGAATTTGGTGTCAGGGGTATAATATTGTCACATTTAACTTTACGTAAAAATCGATTCCTAATAATACATTCTATGGTAAAGATGTCATATATACTTTTACTTGTCTTGAGTATCAACAGATAAAGATATAGAGCTGTAATGATATTTACATATAGTGCAAAAAATTCAGGCATGAAATGAGTGAGAGCTTGCTCAAAACTATGCAAGTTTGATAGAACTTTAAAACTGTACATGTTTATGCAAATCATGTGTACGTCACTGTGCACAACGAGAGAAAAAAAATCAAATGTATGTGTCTTATACCTTCTTTATCAGTAAATCTACAAGTACAATGGTAGCTTACAGAATTTCCCAAATTTTTGCGCTATATTTAGACGGTTTGCCTGGGTATTCCCACCAAATTCGCCTGTCCAAACTGACCACAGTAGAGATACTATGATGCTAACAATAGTTTCAAGAAGTCGTTAGAATTAGTTCATCAAATGTAGAGAACATCTTGAAATTTGGAAACTTCGACTGAATATCCCTTTAAACTTTTTGTTGATTGTATAATGTACAAAATTAAATGCAGTAGGCAGGTCGGGGCCCCGATGGCCCGAGTTCAGGTGAAGATCTTGTATATAGGTGCGTAGTGTTTCTTAAGCACTGGTCATGAAATGGACCGGGCCGGTCAGTGCTGTGGTATGCGACTAGCCTCCCGCATGTTGTTCAGTGAAGTATCCGTCATGTACTATTCTAGACGTTGAGACGTGTACATGTCGGCTTACTAATCTACGGCTAGTGGGGATTTCCCTACCGTCAAGCGGTATAGAGTGTCCGGCTGGGAACTAAATGGTCGTCAGTTCGAATCCCAGTGGTGACAATGATGCTCTTTATTACTCCTTCCTATTCGGTGCCGTGATCGACCCAAGTGTACAAACTATACAAGATATTGCTGAAGATGTTTCATGGGAGATATCGAACCAGGGTTGTTGTTGTCTTGTGGTCGAAGACTTTTTGAAGGAGGGATCCGGAGTAGTGTGGAAGTTGAAAGTACAGGTCGCCGTATTAGTCTCGGCTAGTGGGAATTTTTCTTTAATCGAGCGACAGAGAGTCCGGCCATACTCGATATTCCGGAGGTTACGAACACTATCGCTTTCATTGAAGATTTCGTGTGCGACACCTTGTTGACAAGACTAGTGTGATCCTTTGATGTACGTCAAACGAATTTCAAGGTCACAGTATGTTGTAATGACTTTGAAGTTGAGTGTCGCTCCTTTGTACTCTTCAAAAAGATGCGTACCAGCCTGTGATTGGTCATATTGTTTTCTCCTAGAACCAATCAAATTACTTCGCTTGTGCCTCCAATTGTTATGTCACATGCTCCAGAAGTGCAGACGTCACCAGAGAATCGACACACGTCGATTGGACAATACTCGGCGACGGACAGTCACGGAGACGATAAACCACCATCATCATCACCACCACCACATCATCATCATTCTGAGGAGCAATAGTATCGAGGATGATTGTCAGAATAGGGACCGAAGAGCCGCTATCTAGGCTGAAGTTATTTTTCATTACTCCTTCCTATGACTATTATAACGGAGATAACGTCTGGCTGTTCACGGGCATGTGATACACACGTCTCTGTATAAACCCAGTAAACAAAGTATGCAGGCTAATTTGTCTAAGTTCTCCTTACTTTAATTGATATAGAAACAGGTCAAACGTAACAAAGTCCAGTCTATTATTTGATAATATCAGGTCTACATCAGAGACGTGTTATTTACATCTCTGTGCAGTCTTCGTGTAGAATCTACATGTATATCAAATATATAGAAGTAATTATTTTCTCGTCTGCAAATAGCGGTCATTAGCGTTTTCAAGATTTTGTTAATACAATCTAGATTTTGTGAAAAAACATTCTAAGGTTAAAAATATGTTAAGATATCTAGAAATAGTTTATTCGTGTGTTTACTTATTATACGTCTCTGTTATTAATGACGCATGCAAGTCTATATTCATTGTGGTCATTTTTATTCCGAATGCGCCATTACTCGGAATACCACTGCTATTTTCGATATTTTTCACGTAGCTGGTGATGTGAACTTCCGTGCCATGTGCAGGCACTGGAACTACGCGAGATTGACACCGAGAGTCGTGAAAGGACTGATCACTAACAGAGCAATGTCGTCAGGTCCAACTGGTGTCGAAGCTGGCAAAAGAGCGGCTGCCCGAGCTGCCGTGGATAATCATTTAAAGGTGACATGATCAGTAACGAACACTCCGTAATTTTGACTGTAAGCTCGAACCAAGGACTTTCGTTTTGCTCATTGATAACGTTTTCACTCAAGCTTCTAGCTCATCTGCTTACGGTAGCCAAGTCTCTGTTCACGTTTCTGAACTATTTCTCATGGGGTTGAACTGTTTCTGAAAGAAAATCCTTTCCCCAGACAATCATTGATTGGAATATACTTCTCGTCTTCTGCTTGAAATTTCATCATCTGACGCATTATCTTCTTTCAAATCAGCAATCTCCTCGTTCCCTGATATATTATGTTTCTCTCCATTTGTTGCCACAGTCGATCATGAATGACAAAACCTTCAATCTCTTTAAGTTGGTCATTATTAAGAAGAAGACAGGGATGGACATTATAAATTTTATATCCCATGACGTTGAACTGTAACAGGAGCGGAAAGATGTGCAGCCAGACCAGAGTTCGAACCTGGGACCTTCTGAACTCTAGACGGATGCTCTACCTATTGAGTTAACTGGTCGTCTACGATCAACCCCGTCCAGTTCCGCTACAGAACTGTTTCTAAATGAAAATAGATTGGCAATGGACATTATAAATTTGATATCCCAGGGGGTTGAACTGTTTCTGAACTAAAATAGATGGGAAGAGACATAAATGAACACAGGAACAATTTAATGTTCAAGCTTATTCATATTATGTAATTTTATATAATTTGGGATAAATTGTAAAAGCACCTGTCCTAGCTGGGTACCAATTTTATGGATTAAAGAAAATATAAAATAACTGAGGAAAACGCATCACTTGGGGAATACTACGTGTTCCTGTAGATTTATCTACGTTTATCCTTCGATGTGTGAGGACATTACATGTATTTAATTCTGGCATCTAAAAAGAGGCCAGTTATTACACGAGATTAGAACTACAAAACCTTATTTAATACATCAATGTATATTTGATACATTAGATAGAAACAGTGCCATCACTTGTACTCTAGCATGTTTCCTCCACTGTTCGGCTGGATACCTGAAGGTATGCAGAGTGGTTGTAACGTAGATCAATACTAGGTAAATATCCACCTTGTATTGATTGATGTAGGTTTGGGTTTTTTTTAAGCACATGTGCACTAAAATTCTCATCATTAGATTTCATGTTTGTGTACTAAATACTAAGGTTAGCTTTACATTTACTGGTTTATTTTTTGAGAAAAGTGAAAATGTTTCTCTTCGTTACAGACAGGCCAGGCTGTTGGCATCGGAAGTGGTTCAACCATCGTATTTGCTGTGGAAAGAATAGGTATGATTTGTGTTGTATACCTACCAATCCTTTCTGTTTGGGGGATTAATAGTCCTCACCAAGTTTTTACCTAAGATATCAATAAATCTTCAATATGATTATACTTTCAATATTTGTCCACCAGAAAGAGCAATCTAAAAGAACATGTTTTAAAGTGTTTTTAATCAAAAGCTTTATAAATACCTTTTTTTCTTGAGACTTGAAAATTTTTACACGCCCAATCTCCCTAAAACTTTTATGATATGATTATTGAGAACTGTGTAACAGTTTTATGTTTATAACTATCCCATGTAGGAATATTGAATGTGTAAGTAATTTCCTCAAAAGTTTTATGCCTTAATTTTGTTAACATTTATCTCAGATGTAGGTACAGGTGGGAGAAAATTATAAAATATTGGTGTCACCATTGACTCCTTCACAGAAACAATTATCAAACAATGTAACAATTTTGGAAACTTAATTTGATTATCTTTTAACTTTATAACCACATTTCAAATTTAATGCTATTTTATTGTTACTATTTGAAAGACATAAAAGTAACGATTGACTGTGTTTGCCCCCACAACAAAAAACGATTGACTATGTTTGGCCTCACAAATACAAAAATTGATTGTGTTTGCCCTCACAACAAAAACCGATTGACTGTGTTTGCCCTCGCAGCAAAAAATGATTGACTATGTTTGCCCTCACAACAAAAACGGTTGACTGTGTTTGCCCTCACAACAAACATGATTGACTGTGTTTGCCCCCACAACAAAAATGATTTGACTGTGTTTGCCCTCACAACAAACATGATTGACTGTGTTTGCCCCCACGACAAAAACCGATTGACTGTGTTTGCCCTCACTACAACATGATTGACAGTGTTTACCCTCACAACAAAAAACGATTGACTGTGTTTGCCCTCACAACAAAAAATGATTGACTGTGTTTGCCCTCACAACAAAAAATGATTGACTGTGTTTGCCCTTACTACGAAAATGATTGACTGTGTTTGCCCTCACAACAAAAAACTATTGACTGTGTTTGCCCTCACAACAAACATGATTGACTGTGTTTGCTCTCACAACAAAAAACGATTAACTGTGTTTGCCCTCACAATAAAAAATGATTGACTGTGTTTGCCCTCACAGCAAAAAATGATTGACTGTGTTTGCCCTCACAACAAAAATGATTGACTGTGTTTGCCCTCACAACAAAAAATGATTGACTGTGTTTGCCCTCACAACAATCTTGACAATTGATGCCATATTCACAGATAAGAGAAAGAAATTCAGGTGTCTGAAATGTTTCTCTTTGTCTTTAGCGGAGCGAGTGAAATCAGAAAAGCTGCAGCTGCGATGTGTCCCCACCTCATTTCAGGTAATATATAGATATTATATCCTCACATAGAGATGTATGATTTGTAAAATCCTGTTACTGTATATTCTGGTTAAGGATTTGAGATTCCTATTCAATGGAAACGAAATGTCTAACCATATGTAATGTTCAAATTGTTTCAGAATTCATTTTTTCTAAGAAAGAAAATCATGACTTTTACAGGTGGTCAGAAGACAAATCTTTGGTTTACATGCCATTCAGCTGTTTGTCTCCTTTGATCAAACTTCATTACTTGATTAAGTAGCAGATTATACGTACTAAATTCATGTTACCTGTTACATGTTTTGTGACCTAATGCTCACCCAACATCACATCAATGGGATACACATTGTTTACTATCACCTACAATTTTCATCTTCAGCCGAGAGTATTTCTTGTATGATGAGTTACGCCCCTTTTCAGTTTTGTAACCAAAGTCTGGTTGGGAGAAGAGAGTGCTTACAATAATATTCTGCCTTGTTTCCTTGGAAATGACAATTTAAAACAATAAATTTGAACCCCAGTTTTCTTCTCTTCATGCCATTTGGGCGAACAAGACTGAATAATTTAAGTCTGGGAAAAATTTGGTTTGCATTGTTGTAAAAAAAATAATGTGTATATATTTTTTTTATAAATAGATGACAGTTATACAAAATGTATACAAAATATGGAATATAATCATTGTTTTATTGATAAAAAATGTCCAATTTCTTTTCCAGGCTAAACAGCTGATCCAGGAAAACGGCCTGATACTGAGCAGTCTGGAAACATGTCCTAAGGTAGGCATGGCAACCATGAAATAGGTCACCAGAGGTCACCTGGTTCTGACACTTGAGTGTATATAGTAGGCATGGCAACCCTGAAATAGGTCACCAGAGGTCACGTGGTTCTGGCACTGGAGTGTATATAGTAGGCATGACAACCCTGATATAGGTCACCAGAGGTCACCTGGTTCTGACACTGGAGTGTATATATAAGGCATGGCAAGCCTTTTATATAGGTCATCAAAGGTCATGTGGTTCTTACACTATAATTAGAGTGTATTGTAGGAATGGCAACACTGATATAGATCATCAGAGGTCAGCTTGTTAAAACACTTAGAATGTATGGTAGTTGGTTGGTTGGTTGATTAACAGGTTTTCCATCTCCTCGTGTTTGGTATTATGTCACCAACCAACGTCGGTGTTCTGGCGATGTTGAGTGTATGGTAGGCATAGAAACCCTGATATAGGTCATAAGAGGTCACATTACTCTAGGGTGATATAAAGTGGTGTGGGGAAGTTTAATCCTTATTGATGATTTAGACAATGTGTATAATGTGTAGTGATTTAGACAATGTGTATAATGTGTAGTGATTGAGACAAGGTGTATAATGTGTAGTGATTAAGACAAGGTGTATAATGTGTAGTGATTTAGACAAGGTGTATAATGTGTAGTGATTTAGACAAGGTGTATAATGTGTAGTGATTTAGACAAGGTGTATAATGTGTAGTGATTAAGACAAGGTGTATAATGTGTAGTGATTTAGGAGGGTGTATAATGTGTAGTGATTTAGACCAGGTGTATAATGTGTAGTGATTTAGACAAGGTGTATAATGTGTAGTGATTGAGACAAGGTGTATAGTGTGTAGTGATTAAGACAAAGTGTATAATGTGTAGTGATTAAGACAAGGTGTATAATGTGTAGTGATTTAGACAAGGTGTATAGTGTGTAGTGATTAAGACAAAGTGTATAATGTGTAGTGATTTAGACAAGGTGTATAATGTGTAGTGATTTAGACAAGGTGTATAATGTGTAGTGATTTAGGAGGGTGTATAATGTGTAGTGATTAAGACAAGGTGTATAATGTGTAGTGATTTAGACAAGGTGTATAATGTGTAGTGATTTAGACAAGGTGTATAATGTGTAGTGATTTAGACAAGGTGTATAATGTGTAGTGATTTAGACAAGGTGTATAATGTGTAGTGATTTAGACAAGGTGTATAGTGTGTAGTGATTTCTATACTCTCTGTGACAGCTGGACATTGCTATAGATGGAGCAGATGAAGTTGACAGTCAGCTTAACTGTATAAAAGGTGGAGGTGGGTGTCTAACACAAGAAAAGATTGTTGCCTCATGTGCAAATGAATTTATCATCATAGCTGATTACAGGTACGTACTGGTTCAGAAAACAGCGTGGTATTGTGATGGTCAGAAGATGTCATGATATATGTCTGTTGTACAAAAATCTCTAATAAATCTTACATATTGATATGTTATTCATGTTTGTTTAAAATTTATTAAGTGTTCTATTTTTTGTGAGGTTCAATTTTCATGTTTTTTCAAAAAAGACCTGTTTTCATGGACACATGATTTCATAGCTAAATGTAGCTTGAGTAGATAACTTACACAAATATCAACAATTTTGAGGATGTATTGAAACTTGGAGTACAGCTGTATATACATAATCAATGACAATAAATCTCCAACAAAAAGTGATGAATTTACGGTAGCATTAGCACCTGTCTGTTAGTTCTGCCTTGTCACATCTTGTAATGCCACAACCAATATCGTTTTTTCTGAAACCTCTCAACATATTTGATTCTTACATCAAAATCATGACATTAAGCTCTACACTTTTAATTTTATATTAATATGGATATTCGTCTAGGTTAAAAGGTCAAATTTTAAAACTTCTGCAAAGTCATCAAACAATGACACTTATGACCTGATCAAAGACTGAGATATGAAAATCACTTGATGTATAAGCCATTCTGATCATCTTGTTTATCTGAAGCACTGAGCGTAGAGGAGATGAAAATTTTGATGTCTCCCATCTCATGCTTCTGGATTTTTTTCACTTTTTACTTCCCAGGAAGGACAGCTTTGAGCATAGAGATGAAAGTTTTAATATCTTCCAACTCTTGCTTCTGGAATTTTTTTACTTTTTACTTCCCAGGAAAGACACTGATGCACTCTGTACTTACTGGACAAAAGGCATTCCCATAGAAGTGATCCCCATGGCCTACAGGCCCATCCAGATGAGGGTTGAAGCAGAGCTAGGTGGCAAGGCAGATCTAAGGATGGCCAGTCGCAAGGCGGTGAGAATAAACAGGCATTTTAATGTCACGTCTCTGATGATACACAATCACAGTGTATTTCCATGCCTTAATATCTGTGTCTCAATTTAGGCTAAATAGTTTAAATTGTATATTTTGAATATTTTTGCCAGTTAAGTATCCCCAAAATCCTTGAATAAGTATTTTGTATGTGAGGACACTAAATATAGCAGTTAGAAACTCTGATTGATGTTCTCTATTTCCAATACTTCACCAATGCTAAACAAAATATTTGAATTTACACTGAAATGTTTGGGAAATGTAACATTAATTTGTACAGTCCATTTCTTGATGTATAAGAAACTTGTATAACACATATAAGAAATTTATTTGTACGTAAGTGTGATGTTTGTGGACCTCAAAACATTCATGTTTTTTTTTGTAGGGCCCAGTGGTGACAGACAATGGTAACTTTATACTGGACTGGGTAGCACCATCGAAAACCGAAAACTGGGAGTTAGTCAATCAAAAGATCAAGATAATTCCAGGTAGTTCTATAGAGTATTTTTCTGGAACTTGAAGAATCATGGAAATAGTTTCTCTTTCCGGTTTATACTTCAATTGTAAAGCATCTTATGTAATTACTACAAAACAATAGATTTTTCATATTGAGCTTTAAGCTTTTGGAACTTTGATACATGACGTCATAACATTAAACAAGGCTTGTTGTAGGTGTTCTTGAGACTGGACTATTTATAAAGATGGCTCGTGTGGCTTACTTCGGAAATGAAGATGGTTCCATTTCATCAAGAACTTCACCATGGTTACAGTCAGCAGGGGACAGATAACTCTGAATCCACAATTCTGAACCCATCTTGATTAGTCGGCAGGTTGCATAACTCTAAATCAGTCTCAGTCGGCATGTGACATAACTCTCTTTATCTGACAGTTTTATTCCATGGAAATCCAGTCGTTTCTTTTCACACGAGAGCACTCTTTTTATCTGTTTCTTTTTTTTTCTGCACTCTCTGTATGACCTCGTTAATACTACAGGTAATTTTTTACCTGAATTTTCAGCGCTTTCCTATTGGAGGTAACCAAATAAGTACATTTTAAGATTAAACACATAGTTTAAAGCCGATTGTTCTCAGAGATTCAAGTACCCATTTTTTTGCCTATTATTTTCGAAGTTATAAGAAATATTTCTTGTGTTTTTTTTAATTTTGAATTGATTTTGATGACAAAATTTGAATTGCAAACACTAAGTGATAACAGATCACAACAAATAATGTTTAGTGGCTGTGTTTAAACAAAACAAGATGGGTTTGCTCAATTTGTGTGAATATTCCAATGGGTTAAGCTGTCCAGATAGCCAGTAAGACTTTCAGTGCTAGTAAGTAGAAACAGGATGTTGGATCTCGAGGATCATTTCTAACTGTACTATGTGTTGCCAGATGCTATATTTTTTGCTGTAAAATGATATATAGTAATAAGAACTGTTATCTCATTATCTGATAGGGGTAGGAGACAGTTACTTCTAGTATTGATGCTGTATATTATCAATACTCTCAGATCAGCATGGAACTGAATTTCTTATTTAATAATTTAGAATTCTTCTAATTTTAAGTCTGGAATAAACAGGTTTAATATGTAAAACTTTTCAGTAACACACTTGATGGCTGGGTTTATTTCCTGGTCAATTTATTTTAATTTAATTTTAAGGCGGAGTTTCCTTCTGGTGGCAGCTACCTCACTGAACAACATGCAGAAGGCCCATCACATGCCAACCTGAACAATTTGAGTAGAGTGTCCTGCCTTTGTTATATGTCAGCAGAGACCAGTCCGTTTCACACCGAGAAACACAAACCATTACATTGCATCCCATTGTTACATAGGCTGACATTTCACTGATATCTTTTTAACTGTAATGTATAATTGTACACAGATAGATCTATGCTACTGCACTTCTGATAAAACGAGGTGTATTAAATGCTTTTATACCAAGAAATGTGTTCAGAAATAAAAAAGGTCTTCTTAATGTTTATTTATACAATATTTGTGGAAAAATGAAAATGTTATATGTTGTTACATTAAATAGAACTATCGGTTAACACATTGATATCTGTTAATGTTGCAATGGAAAGTTATGATGTTTCATTTTCAGTTCTCTCCCTTTGATGTTTCATGTTCAGTTCGCTCTCTTCAATGTTTTTCATGTTCAGTTCTCTTCCTTTGATGTTTCATTTTCAATTCGCTCTCTTCAATGTTTTTCATGTTCAGTTCTCTTCCTTTGATGTTTCATGTTCAGATCTCTCCCTTTGACGTTTTTCATGTTCAGTTCTCTCTCTTTGACGTTTTTATGTTCAATTCTCTCCCTTTGACGTTTCATGTTCAGTTCTCTCTGTTTGACGTTTCATGTTCAGTTCTCTCTGTTTGAAATTTCATCTTCAATTCTCTCCCTTTGACTTCAGCATCAGAATGCTGTCGTTTATTTCTGTAGTAAACATTCTGTACTATCATCATAGAAAACAGACATTTTATTGAGGCCAAACGAGTTAACTTAAAACGGTTTAGTCCTTAAAATTACGTAGTTCATTGTTTTCTATAATTAAACTGGAGTCAAGCTTAGTTTTCAGTTGAGAAGGTTGGATATCTATAATTTATCATCTGTTTTAGGTGCACAGAAAACACCTGACAGGGATGACTTACAAGTTTTCCGTCACCATGAATTTTCATATCACCAATGTTCTTCCTAGTGATAGCCATTGTTTCAGCCACAATTGTCAGTTATTCTGGCTCCATGAATCTTCCTACAGCTAGACATTGTCTCACCGATTAACGTCAGTGTTCTGGTGACATTCAGGGTAATCAGTTACAAAGACAGTGATAAGACTGAAGTTTGACTTTATCTTTTCTTAGTGTATATTTTAATGACAATGTACTGCATAAATTGTTCAGTGGATTTTTAGTTCTGAAGTGTGATAACAATTAAGTATTTGGATTTTTTTTAACTTTAATTGATTATGAAACTATTAATTTACACATTTCCATAGAAGTACATTTAATTAGTTCCCACAGGTTTGTCAATTTGGAAATATACATGGTTTTAAAATGAAAACATGAAAAACCCTGTGCGTTGTAATTATATTCAAACCAAGGCAAATTATACTGAAATGCATCATCAGTTAGCAAAACTGAAAACAAAACGACATGAACTTTGAGCATAATTACAAAATTTCTTTCCAACTGATATAACCATGAATAAATTTATGTAGAATATTTAGTTTAATACTCAGGAGTATTTAATCTGGAAAATAATTTATATTTATAATAGAAGACGGATATTAATGAGCTTTCTTCACTTAAGTGCACTTTGATTTTTGGGACCATGCATCTGCTGGTACAATGAGAATTATTTGAAACATCCAGTCTCATCTTAACAATTATCCTTCATTTATTTCACAACTATTGTGAAGCAAGTCTTTCCAAATTAACTGCACCAAGTGTCTTATTTTGAGTCTCATCTTAAACTAAAGAAATCAATTCATCACTGTGACAGAGCAGTTGTAACCTCTAGCAGACTGGTCAATCTTTATAACACAACTGACAATCTCTTTTTTCCTATGAAGGAGTTTGAAAAGTTTTGTTAAGATATATCAAAATTTGACCAGTGCATGTTTCATACATGTACCAGTTAGAGTGAAATTGACATTTTGAAGCTGTATCAAATCTGGATTCAAGAACTACATAGCTATAGTTTACTATTGGGTGATCGGGTGGCACGGCGGTTTCCTGTCCAGAACGGACATGAAAAGGTTTGGGGTCACCTTTCTAACCACATTTGGTTTTCCCCAGGTACTCAGGTTTCCGCCCACATTAAGACCTCCAGTGTAGATCCATCCGACCCAACAAGAGAGATTAATATAAGCTTATAGCTTGTTTCACAATTGTTGTAAAATAATTAAAGGTTATATTTATATAATAGTTTATTTTGATAATCATTTTTGAAGATCATCAATTTAAGAATTAATTCAATAAACATGTATTTTCAACTATTTTGATGTTTTCTGGGGAAACGTTTTGGTATTGTAATAAAAGTCATTATGAGAATATGTTCATTATCAAAAATTAACATTCCTTTTTTTTTTAATGGAAGAAATATGCTACACTTTTATTTGTTTGAAATAGAACATGTTTCCTCAGAAGGATCACACTGATTGATGATATTAGGCTGGAAATATGTGTAAACTGTAAGGATTTCAACGAGGGAATGCTCCTTTACATAAAGATAAAATCAAGGTCCATCTATTTTCACTCCTTGTTTTCATTAAAATTATGAATTCAAATATTTCATCATTTCTGATCAGGAAATAACACTGCATGTACATATCAAAATGTTTTGGGGAACAAAAAGTTTTATACCAATTAGATTTAAAAATTTTTTTGATTTTTTCTTAATCCAAATTTTTGTTGAATGCATGTCTTTTTGTTGTTTATTCAGATTAATGTTAATTGTGTATTAATTGTTAGCGAGTTTGAAAGCTTGATATTTTTGTAATCTTTTGAAGCCTGTTACCTCAACTGTAATTTTAGTGTATCAAATGATGCCTTGCTATGTTGACATATGTTCCAATATATTAATGTGTTCCAAGTGCTAGGATTGTACATATTTTCGTTTCTGAAAATAAAATTGGTTTATTATCAATATTGTATTGTCTTATTGATTTTGTCAGTAAAACAGCTGTTCAGATAAACAAGGACTCAGAGGTCTGTTGTAGGACCACAATATACCACCATGTTTTTCCTGCATTTAGCCGAGGGATGGACATTATTTCCTGCATTTAGCCGAGGGATGGACATTATTTCCTGCATTTAGCCGAGGGATGGACATTATTTCCTGCATTTAGCCGAGGGATGGACATTATTTCCTGCATTTAGCCGAGGGATGGACATTATTTCCTGCATTTAGCCGAGGGATGGACATTATTTCCTGCATTTAGCCGAGGGATAAACATTATTTCCTGCGTTTAGCCGAGGGATGGACATTATTTCCTGCATTTAGCCGAGGGATGGACATTATTTCCTGCGTTTAGCCGAGGGATGGACATTATTTCCTGCGTTTAGCCGAGGGATGGACATTATTTCCTGCATTCAGCCGAGGGATGGACATTATTTCCTGCGTTTAGCCGAGGGATGGACATTATTTCCTGCGTTTAGCCAAGGGATGAACATTTCCTGCGTTTAGCCAAGGGATGAACATTATTTCCTGCATTTAGCCGAGGGATGGACATTATTTCCTGCGTTTAGCCGAGGGATGAACATTATTTCCTGTGTTTAGCCGAGGGATGGACATTATTTCCTGCGTTTAGCCGAGGGATGGACATTATTTCCTGCGTTTAGCCGAGTGATAAACATTATTTCCTGCGTTTAGCCAAGGGATGAACATTATTTTAAAATCATTTATTCATTTTACTGGGGATCATATAGTGTGGTTTTCCAAAAATGTGCATTTTAGTTGGAACCTAATTTCCTGGGGATGTCTTGCTAACTAAATCCTCTGGTACTAAAGGTTCCTGACAACTGCATCTAGTTATGTGGCCACATGATTTCATGGATTAAGAGTAATCGCAAATCAAAGGAAAATAATATCACCACAAAAATTATAATGATTTAACAACGTTTATTAAAGGCAGATATCCATAGTCATGTGTTTATTGACGGATAAATATTTCATAACTACACAACAGAAAATGTATTTGTAGAAGAGACTGAGCGATTCTGATCATTGTCTGCTAACATGACTGTTTAAATGTTGTAATGATCATGTTATAATCAAGCTCTTCTCTAAGTTCTGAATCGTTCAGACCATGTAGAGCAGCACGACATTGTTATTGTCATGGATACCAGTGTATTTTACTTTGTAGAAGAAAATCCATTTTTCAGATTTTTGGAGATTATGTGATCTCTTCAATTAGTTTTGTTCTTTGCTGTGGTTTTTGTTTACCGCCCCAAAACTCCTCCAATTCGGATCGTTTCTCGTCCATATCTCTCAAGTCCGATTCAGCAGCACCTGGAAATAGAAACAAACTCCAGATAACATACGGTACATTTTAAAAAGAGTTACCTCCGTTCTAATCCTAACCGAATGGTTTAGAGCCTATTTTGTAATAAACCAACCCGTATCAATTGCTGTTCGGTTGAATTACCACTTACTGTCATATCCATACCTCGAAGTATCAAATCAGAGGGTCATTGTCGCCGTTCTTTACACCCAGCTAAACTCTTATTACCATGTAAATATTACTTACTGTAATACTGATTAACTTTCTGTTCAATTCAGTGATCCGAAATAACATAAATGTTTGACAGTAATAAGTAGTAACTAAGTAATCAAATTTAAATTTTGGTATTTTCCTTACTAGGAAAAGCATATAGGTGAGTGCAGATAAAATATCTAATTGTTGAATATTATCATATAAACAGATAATATATCTTTATCTTATACTGTAGAAGGCATGTAGAATAAAAGGTTTTATAACAAAACTAGTAGAAGATTTGAGTTCCGAGGTTTGATGACTTCACAGTCATCTTCATCAGACAAATGACCGGTGTGGAGGGTACTAGCACCAACGTACGTAGTGTCGAGATCTACACGGTCACCTTCATCAGACAAATGACCAGTGTGGAGCGTACTAGCACTGACTTTTGTAGTGTAAAGGATCCATGATTGTGAGGCTTCATGGCTGTTAGTCAGTTACTTACCATCTTGTACACTACGTACATGAAGTCATCAAAACATCACACTCTAATCTTCTACTGGTTGTGTTATAAGATGAAGGTGACCGTGTAGTCATCGAAACGTCACACTCTAATCTTCTACTGGTTGTGTTATGAGATGAAGGTGACAGTGGAGTCATCGAAACGTCACACTCTAATCTTCTACTGTTTGTGTTATAAGATGATGGTGCCCGCATAGTCATCCAAACATCACACTCTAATCTTCTACTGGTTGTGTTATAAGATGAAGGTGACCGTGTAGTCATCGTCACACTCTAATCTTCTACTGGTTGTGTTATAAGATGAAAGTGACTGTGTATTCATCAAAACATCACACTCTAATCTTCTACTGGTTGTGTTATAAGATGAAGGTGACCGCGTAGTCATCAAAACATCACACTCTAATCTTCTTCTAGTTGTGTTATAAGAAAATTTATTCTATTGACATTACCAACCCTAACAACATTTTCCGAAAGAAGGTTTGACACTGTACATATATAAAATACAGGATGTAAATCCTACTTGCTCCATCCTTCATATCAATCTGTTAATATCAAATCTGAAATGAGTCTGACCATTCTATATTTACTTGGTGATCACATTCCCATTTGACTTACTGTGCTCCAGGACAAGTTCTGGCACCAACATGTGTAGAGACATTCCTAGTCTTTGTGACCAACTCAGGTAAAACTCTAACTTCTTTTCGCAGGCAAATAAATCCTTCTTCATAGAATTACCTCCCTTGCACTTCCCAGATTTCAAACCTGTAGCAATTCAAATTTAATTACAATGTTTAGCTTGGCATCCAGTAGAGATATGTTATGAAAATTTCCAAATATTAATATCTTTGTAAAATTTTTTGGTGACAAATGAAAAATGAGAAAAATAAGTGTGAGAATAAAATATGTAGTAGGGGTGCTAAAATGGTCATTCATTGTTAATCTTACCCTTCGATACAAGTTTTTTGGCTTTCTGTATAATATGAAGGAGCTCTGACAAAGCTATTATCAGGTACTCAAGGGGCCTCTCTTCAGAAGGGCCCCTTATGATGTTGATAATATCCTCTATTATTGAAATGCTGAATCCAGCTGATGTTCCTCTCCCAAATGAACTCTGGAAAGACAATGACATATCAATCATCATATTGTAAAATGTGTTTCTTCATTTCAAATCACAACAATGCAATAATAAGAAAATCTGTTAATGACATTACCCCCCACCCCACCCCCAACTTTTGTGGAAACTAATACACTGTATCATTGGTTGACAAATATATATATATAGTTACATGACCATGACATAGGAATCATCAAATACATATTACTAATTGAGTGTATTCTCATATATGCCATTAGCACAAGTTTAAAGACCCTAATTAGCTAGACAGGCAATTTTCATTGAATAGCTAGAGGATATTCATACAAAAAATGACCTTGACCTTTCGACCCTGTTAATACACAACTCCTTCAAGGGGTTTCAGTTCTTGTCTTTTGTGAATTTTTTTTTATCAAAGTCTAAAACGAAATGAAGATGCTGAAATTTATGATAGTGAGTCAGGACAGAACAGGTTAGATGTGCTGTATCATAATAGGACGTGATGCATAAAATCATACAACCCTCATTTGATTCAAATAACAAATTGCCAAACACCACAAGAAATAAAATAAAAATCTGGTTGAATCAATATTAAACATTTTTGATGTGTTAGATAACAGTGGCTATGAAAGATACACCTATACAAGACAGGTGGCCTTCGTAGACATGTGGTCTTCATAGACAGGTGAACTTCATCTTATAATTGATGTTTATTGTGACTTTATATAGAGGTGGTCTTTATAGACAGGTTTAATGCTGGTTGTTTATCATTTATTGTTTATTGTGTCCTTGTGACTGTAAAGGAAACCACAGTAATGCAGGTTTAAAGTTCTGATGTAATAATAACAAGAAACTATTTATTCTTTGCTTTAAAATATCCAAGAAACTTACCTTTGTAGATGACTGGATTACCTCCCCTCGACTGCTGTATCCATAAAACTTTCCTACTACAAACCCATCACTATTTAACTCAGTTTTATACCTTGGAGTTTGAAATATCCCATAATAATTTTATGACAGAAATCTGTTTGATTAACTTATTACCTTTGTGACACGCTGTATAGATGACTGGATTACCTCCCCTGGACTGTTGTAGACAACATCCTTATTTGTCAGATCGCTAACTATCAACATTTCCTGGAAATAAGAAAAAAAAAGTTACTTTGTGTTACAATGGGTACATGAAACTGCTGTAACACATAAGTATGACACTCTATGGTGACTAATGTGTTGTCAATGTGTGATCAACTCTAAATTGGTAAATCAACTGAAAGTTAAAACTGAAATTTGTAGCAGTTTTACTCCAAAAATAGGAGATATGTGGAATTCAGAATGGGTAGGGGCACTTAAATCAACCTACTGGAAATCTGTGTGGATAGGCAGCAAATATTGCATAACATTATTTATCAACATTTTTAAAGTTAAAGTTTTTTTTGCACTTCAGATATTTCAACATTGAAATAAGGTTCAAGTATGTTCAATGTTATATCAACATCCAGAGATTCCAATGTTATTGTAACATTATTTGAATGTTAAAATTTTTTAAATGTACATGCTCTTTTTATGTGTAATTATAAATTGGTAGTCTAAGGGTCTTCAATGATAAATATTAAATTTCTGTCTCTGGAGGAAACTTTTTAATCACAAAGTTTGTATATGTTTATAAACATGTCGGTTAATTAGGCTTGTACAAGGATATGGCGTTGTCATTACGTTGACCACTAATAAAGATGTTGCGAACATTTCTGAAATCTTTGGTTTAAATTTGACATAAGTCATCTAAACGTAATTTTACTCAAATTACATTTGCCAAAAGACAATAAAAACACAAATTGAGATACAGTCCAACATCATTTCCTCAACGTGAACATGGCCAGGGGGAGACTTCTAGTTATCCAAGTGAGTTTGAACATTTATTGCGAGTGTGACCAAGATCGACAGAATACTTTTAATATAACAGGGTTTTTAATTCTACAGGTTTAATATAACAGGTTTTTTAATTATACAAGTTTAATATAACAAGTTCAAATGTATCTCCTGTTTATCAAAATATTTGACAAAAGTCATGCATTTCAAATGTAAATATATGGACACCAATGTCAACACATTTAGATAATCATACAATATGTAGTTACTACAATGTCAACACATTTAGATAACCATACAATATGTAGTTACTACAATGTCAAAACATTTAGATAACCATGCAATATGTAGTTACTACAATGTCAACACATTTAGATTATCATACAATATGTAGTTACTACAATGTCAACACATTTAGATAACCATACAATATGCAGTTACTACAATGTCAACACATTTAGATAACCATACAATATGCAGTTACTACAATGTCAACACATTTAGATAACCATACAATATGTAGTTACTACAATGTCAACACATTTAGATAACCATACAATATGTAGTTACTACAATGTCAACACATTTAGATAACCATACAATATGTAGTTACTACAATGTCAACACATTTAGATAACCATACAATATGTAGTTACTACAATGTCAACACATTTAGATAACCATACACTATGTAGTTACTACAATGTCAACACATTTAGATAACCATACACTATGCAGTTACTACAATGTCAACACATTTAGATAACCATACAATATGTAGTTACTACAATGTCAACACATTTAGATAACCATACAATATGTAGTTACTACAATGTCAACACATTTAGATAACCATACAATATGTAGTTACTACAATGTCAACACATTTAGATAACCATACAATATGTAGTTACTACAATGTCAACACATTTAGATAACCATACAATATGTAGTTACTACAATGTCAACACATTTAGATAACCATACAATATGTAGTTACTACAATGTCAACACATTTAGATAACCATACAATATGTAGTTACTACAATGTCAACACATTTAGATAACCATACAATATGTAGTTACTACAATGTCAACATATTTCCATACAAGGACAGAAAATAATAAATCATCAAAGTAAGATTTAGAAGGAGTAGTTTACAATGTGTAGGCTGTTATATTACTCCTATTTACAGCCTTTAAGGATCTGCCTGGTTGGAGTTTTGGGAGAAAAACAGAGTTTCCAAATGAAAAACGCTTAACTTTGGTCAGAACCTAATGACTGCCTAAATTAGGCCTAGAATCTGTGACTCAGTAACAAAGACAGTCCAAAGTCTTAATCATTCTGTCACCAAGACCCTAGATCTGGAGTAACACTAATGTTAACATAACAAACTAAGATGGAAATCCTGGTATAGCAGTGACCAGACAGATTTACTGATATCTATAGCTTAATCTTAAAGGGAGATAACTCCCAACACAAATCACAGGTACAATTTAAAAGGTATTATTTCTGCTTTATGTCGTTACCTGTGCCGACTCGACAGGTGTATCCCAATGATCTCCGTTGTGTAACCGACATACAAAACAGTAAGCATACAGTGATCCCACCACACTGTATTTCACTCCACTGGACGGCTTAGATTTCTGGAAAATGAAATCGTATATTATCTTCACTAACTAAACAAGATAATAAATTGCAACATGCTTGGAATAAGTTGCTTCTTATCTATTTTAATCATCGACCAGTTTTGCCCAGAACTTTTGACTTCATTTGAACCTGGCTTTGTCTGTGTTAAATAACACTGACTGGTTCCGACAACATCTGACTGTCATATCAATCTGATACTGTAAATCACTTTTATTTTGTGTGGGATTTATTTTCACGTTATTATGCGAGGAGAGTCAATCAGGAATTCAAATTCCTCGTGATTATTTGTATACAAAGAATTCTTGATCACAGCCATGCTGATTCGATTACAAATATTGAGTCCATATCTCACAGCTTATCATTCCCAAGTCATTTCTAGAATACAGTTTGCAAAATCATGTATTCAGAACTATGTCTAAAGAGGAAAGTTCACAAAATAAAATAAATGTGATATATTCATGACTTACAGTATCATTTTGTGAATCTTTCAGATGTCTAAAAATAGCCTATAAACTGAAATAGGCTATCCAGAAAAGAATCTAGTTGAGGATAAAAGAGAAAGTTCACTGTTTCATAAAAACAGCTTTGAAACAAGAGGCCCATGGGCCTTAACGGTCATCTGACAAAAAGCAAGCCAAACCTAGAAAGTGGGTTGAGGTCATTCATTTGAACAAACTTGGTAGCCTCTCCTCCAAGCATCTTACAGGCCCAATATCAGCACTCATGGACTTTTGCTTGTTGAGAAGAAGTCGTTTGTATATTTTAACATATTTGACCCCTGTGACCTTGAAAGTGGGTTGAGGTCATTCATTTGAATAAACTTGGTAGCCTTTCCTCCCAGCATGCTACAGACCCAATATCGGCACTCATAGACTTTTGCTTATTGAGATGAAGTCCTTTGTATATTTTAACATATTTGACCCCTGTGACCTTGAAAGTGGGCCAAGGTCATTCATTTGAACAAACTTTGTAGGGCTCCATGCCAGCATGCTATGGGCCAAGTATTAGCCCCCTAGGCCTTCTAGTATTTGAGAAGAAGTTATTTAAAGATTTTGACATATTTGACCCCTGCGACCTTGAAAGTTGTTCAAGGTCATTCATTTAAATAAACTTGGTAGCCTTTCCTCCCAGCATGCTACAGACCCAATATCGGCACTCATAGACTTTTGCTTATTGAGATGAAGTCCTTTGTATATTTTAACATATTTGACCCCTGTGACCTTGAAAGTGGGCCAAGGTCATTCATTTGAACAAACTTTGTAGGGCTCCATGCCAGCATGCTATGGGCCAAGTATTAGCCCCCTAGGCCTTCTAGTATTTGAGAAGAAGTTATTTAAAGATTTTGACATATTTGACCCCTGTGACCTTGAAAGTTGTTCAAGGTCATTCATTTAAACAAACTTGGTAGTCCTTCATCCCAGCATGTCACAGGCCCAATATCTACACTCTGAGCCTTTTGGTTAATGAGAAGAAGTTGTTTAAAGATTTTAACATATTTGACCCCTGTGACCTTTAAAGTGGGTCAAGGTCATTCATTTGAACAAACTTGGTAGAGCTCCATGCCAGTATCCTCTGTGCCAAGTATTAGCCCCCTAGACCTTCTAGTATTTCAGAAGAAGTCGTTTGAATGAAAAGTTTACGGACGGCGCACGGCGGACGACGACGGACGAAGCATGATGACTATAGGTCATCAGACCCTTCGGGTCAGATGACCTAAAAAGTGAACTCAGATCAAGTGGAAAATTATTTAAAAATTATAACACAAAAGATAATGTTTTGGAGGAGTGAGTAAACAATGCCTTCCTACAAAAATGTTGTCTAAACCGAATTACAAAATAAAAACATGTATACCGGTAACAGAACAGCTAGATCTATGATGTCGTCCTTGACCTTTGGAAACTTTCTTGGCTGGTCTCTGGGGTCATCCTCATCTTGTATCAGCTGTTTGGACTGTAATAGTAAAATAATAGAGACTATGATAGGGTTGATGTAACTAAGTTTATCCTTCTGTAGAATCAGGAAGGTGACGTTATCATAGAGCAATTACATATATCTGTTTAATACAGGACAATAACATTGGTTGTAATTTCTACTGAAATTTCAGTATAAGAGGATGGGCTTAATACAGGACAATGACATTTTTGCCATTTCTTTAAAGGGGCTATTTAGTCAAGCAGTGTTGTTTGTATTTAGCTGGAAATGAAAATATATGTGTCCACACTAACTAAACTGTACATAATAGTTTTCTCCTACATAGCCAATGGTTAGTGTGGTCTGTTTAAAATCTGGGGAAGCCCCCGCCAAAAATAGCGATAATCCAAATATAGCATGAAATGTCACACTCTCTGGTTGGAAGAAGACTGTTTGTAAACTAATGCACGTGATATGGAGGCATCAAGTGACGAAACGGTGAGTCTGATTTCACGTTAACTCCTTTTGTAAGGAAATCATGAAAGAAATTGCGTGGTAAACCTTTGTGAACATACAAGTTACTAAAATTCACGGTGAATTGTTATTTGATAGTTTAAATCTGCCAAACACGGTCTGACATACAAAAAATATCACCAGCGATGATGACTTATCACTTACCAACAGTCTAGGAGAGTCTTCACAACTTCTTCATTACTTTGGAAAAAGTTTTCTTACTTGAACTTGTCCCACCTCTCGTACTGCTCTCCTATTGTTATTTGAGGTTGAGCTTTCTGCCACTGGCCTTTCCTATGTTTTGTGTGCGATGACGTGACCCATTTGCCACAAACACGCTTCCGCTGGCCAGCCATTTTTGTTTAGTTTTTCAGACACGTTTGCGCATGCTCACAGGTCAAAGTGTGCATAGACAGCTTGCTCATTTGCATTTATCGTGTCTGTACAGACGATTAGAATTTCCCATTAATTAATTAAAAAACCGAAGGAAAGCACGCCCTTGTATCAATATGTCGGCCAGGATATTTCATTAGGATTATAGAACAACATTTTACAGATGAATATGTAACTAGAATAAAAATAAACAAACTTGACTAAATAGCTCCTTTAACTCTGACTACTATATATGTGGATGGGCTTATTACTAGACATTGGTATATACTGTTGTAACACATATCAACCATTAGCAAAACATACATTGTTTTCAAATTAATGTATTCAGACAAAGTCCGGAAGCATTTGATCTTATCCTGGTATGTGTTTCTAAAACAATCTTAACATCTCTCATCTCCATGTAGTCAAAATAAAAAATCATTGACAGAATTAGAAAATAATGAATGTGGTCCTTCATTATACTGCCCTATCATATCAGTTTCTGGAATAAATAAATAAATAAATAAACTTTATCTATTTTACAACAATTGCAAAACAAATTTTTCCAGCTCATACCATCGCTCTTGTTGGCCACGGTGTAAGAGTGCAAGGGGTCTTACTGTGAGAAGAAAATGGAGCATCCAGTGAAAACCCACATGGTCGGGAAGGTTACCTCAACCTTTTTCATATCATCTGTTCCTGGAATTGAACTCTGGATAACAGGTGAAAGGTGAGTATGTTACCATTGCGCCACACGACCAACAATATGTTCAATACTGTGTATACTACATCATTAAATAATTACCTCAGGATTCCACCACGGTGTCCATACTTCAACAAGGTGACCCAGGCGGCCATCTCTGCTCATCAGGTCAAATTCTTTTCTTTCTTTCTCAGTCAACTGCTTCCAGATAGCACCAGCATCACAATCTGTCAGAACAATAAAAAAGGGTCAGAAATATTGGAACAGAACTTTTACTGGGTTAAAAACAGTAATTAGAGAATATTAGTGAACAGTTAACAAACATTTAATGAGGTCAAAAGGTCAAAGTAGTTAAAAAGACGATTAACCGAGTCAAAACATTTGGGAAAAAAATGTCATAATTATTTATTTGCAGTAAAAACATATATAAACTTATATTTATAAATTAACAGAGTGGCAAAGATTAAATGATTGGTAAAGACATACCCAGATCAAGCCCTTCAAGTCGTTCAGCTAGATCTGGCTCATCATCTGAATGTGAAACATGGAATATTACTACATTTGACAACAGACAATACAGTCAAACCTGTCTATATAATGTCACTCAAGGAAGCAGTGAAAAGTGGCCTTTAAACACAAGTGGCCTTTATATACAGGTTCAATAACTATGAAATGTATTACATAGGGAACTAAAACAATACAGACTTTATACACAGGTCACCTTTACATAAAGGTTCATAGGGAACTAAAACAATACAGACTTTATACACAGGTCACCTTTACATAAAGGTACATAGGGAACTAAAACAATACAGACTTTATACACAGGTCACCTTTACATAAAGGTTCAAATACTGTGCATTGTATTACATAGGGAACTAAAAAGCAGCCTTTGTAGACAGATGACTATTGTATAAAGGTGATCTTTGTACATCAATGACATTTCCATCTAACCATGTACAGTACTCCACAATGTTTGAGATATTATCATATTTCTTGCTTTACACCTCGGTCCAAAATTCTCTTAAAACCTAGATCTATGTTGCAAATTAGAATCTGATCATGTGTAGAACTTGATGTTATGATACTTAGGGCTGATATTTACCAAATCTATTAAGAAGTTCTTACGTTATTACACTGATTCAGTATCACGTGACATTGGGATTAAAGGGGTGAATTGCAGGAGACATAAAAACTTTATCTGGATTAATGTTTTTTAAACAATATATTGTTGTACTTGTTTCAATGTATTTATTATTAGACTCTTAAGTTTTCAAATCTGTTTCTTAAATTTCCATGAAAATGCCACTTGAACCGGAATACTATGTAAGGGGAAGTTACTCACTATTAGAACTGGGATACTATGTAAGGGGAAGTTACTCACTATTAGAACTGGGATACTATGTAAGGGGAAGTAACTCACCACTTGAACCAGGATACTATGTAAGGGGAAGTAACTCACCGCCTGAACCAGGATACTATGTAAGGGGAAGTAACTCATCACTTGAACCAGAATACTATGTAAGGGGAGTAACTCATCACTTGAACCAGGATACTATGTAAGGGAAGTAATTCACCACTTGAACCAGGATACTATATAAGGGGAAGTAACTCACCACTTGAATGTTGATACTATGTAAGGGGAGGTAACTCATCACTTGAACCACGATACTATGTAAGGGGAAGTAACTCATCACTTGAACCAGGATACTATGTAAGGGGAAGTAACTCATCACTTGAACCGGGATACTATGTAAACGGAAGTCACTCACCACTTGAACTGGGATACTATGTAAATGGAAGTAACTCACCACTTGAACTGGGGCACTATGTAAGGGGAAGTAATTCACCACTTGAACCAGGATACTACATAAGGGGAAGTAACTCACCACTTGAACTGGGGCACTATGTAAAGGGATGTAACTCACCACTTGAACTGGGGCACTATGTAAGGGGAAGTAACTCACAACTTGAACCAGGATACTATATAAGGGGAAGTAACTCACCACTTGAATGTGGATACTATGTAAGGGGAGGTAACTCATCACTTGAACCACGATACTATGTAAGGGGAAGTAACTCATCACTTGAACCAGGATACTATGTAAACGGAAGTAATTCACCACTTGAACCAGGATACTACATAAGGGGAAGTAACTCACCACTTGAACTGGGGCACTATGTAAAGGGATGTAACTCACCACTTGAACTGGGGCACTATGTAAGGGGAAGTAACTCACAACTTGAACCAGGATACTATATAAGGGGAAGTAACTCACCACTTGAATGTGGATACTATGTAAGGGGAGGTAACTCACAACTTGAAGCAGAATATTATGTAAACGTAAGTAACTTACCACTCTCTAATCCTTCTGTTTCCTCTTCCACTCTCGATATCATTTCCATAATTTTTCTTTTCTCCTCTAGTCTGAAAGTGGAATAAAGATCCTTTCTTAACCACTGCAGGTAAAATTCCTGATTAATAAATCCTCAAATCTAGGTAAAATATTGAACATTTACAATCTAAGTGAAATCTCAGTTTTGGATAAAAAGGGGAAATATTCTTTAATAGCCCTGTATCTATTTGAGTTTTAAATTGAATAAGAGCAATTCATATCTCACAATATAGATTTTTGTTAGAGTAAGTTAAAAACAAGTAGACTTTCAAATTTGGATAATTTTTGGTATAAAAATTTACCAATAAAAAGTAAAAAGTTGGTCTTTATTCCTATCCTGGAATAATATTATCAAAAAGAAACTAGGATTCCAATAAAATTCTTAACTAAGATTTTCCATTTGTTTTAACTGAGTCATTAAGCATTCACTTTTACATTTCATCAATCTACAACTTAACAAGCAGAAAAATTGCCACAGAGAATGAAGGAACTATTTGTTTGACGGTCTTAGTGACCGGACATATTGTGCAAATGAATATGCATTTATAGGAATCTAATGTTTGTGTGACATTCAAACAGAAGCAGCTAAGATGTAATATGCAAAATACCCACAAATTCAAATATTTGAATTGTGATAATGTGAAATTTTGATATTGTTGTGTGTTTTTCACTTATGCCCATCCTCGATACTCCAGGAGCTATGCTCACTTTAGCTTTCTGCAACCCTGGAATATGTCATGGCAATCAAATTACTTGCTTGTGCCTTCAAGTTTGCCATAACATGTTCCAGGGGTCCAGAGAATGAAAGTGATTGTAAACCCTGGAATATAGCGGATGGACTTATGCCATTCTCAGCTACAGGGTAACATGGTTTAGCTTTGATATCTTCTTTTATTGTTTTTAAGTTTTTCATCAAATTTTAATGATAGATATCTGACTCTGAGCAACCCTTAATAACCCAGGTTCTTGTGTTGGGGTATCTTGTATACAACAAAGCTGTGAGTATCAAAATATCTACATTTATAAGAAAATCTCTTCACTGCCACTTCTGCCTACATTTAAAGCAATCTAGCTCTAGTATTTCAGTTTTATAATTTATATGCATTATTCTTTAAAATGTGACAATTTTCTTGTCTAAAATCACGCAAAAGATTCTGAACAAATCATATCTTAGATCTCTGGAACGATAAATTTTGATTTTTTTTCTCTTCTGATTTTCTATGAAAACAGCATGAAGGCCAACACAAGCTTTTTCTAATACAGTTCACTATATTGAGTCCTAATAACCAGAATCAAGTAAAATATCTCACCCAGATGACTGATCTTTCAGACCTTCAATGAAGCAATCTTTGTAGAAGGACTCGGAGCAATCCATATGTTTCTCTCCCTTATAGCACTCCACCGAACAGTATCTCACATTACAGCGTGGACAAGTGTATTTTGTTTCATTTTTTAAACATCTGAAACAAATTAAAAAGTACATTTACAGTGTTTTCTTATAATGATTTGAATAATGACTGTGGATGAATGATCAGCTACAACAATACAAAATTTTATCTCAAACTCTGTATGCCTACATTTATAAGCACTTACTTGTATATGGCATTAATTAGTAGTCATTGTTATTTGCTAATCAAATTTGACGTTTCAGTGAAAATGAAATGTAAACCTGCGAACCATAGGCGAATGGTTGTTTTGATTACCAGGTATATGCTTTGGAAATTGTGATATACAATGAACTTACTTAGATGATTACTTTAAGATTATCTTATCTGATACATAGATTCTACATTATGCACAAAGATATATTTGGAAATGTTAATGAGTTTACTGAAAGACAAATAAATTTCATACAGTTTCACACATTTTATACTATGACAATGTGTTTGCCTTGTTATTTTTATTCTTATATTTTATATAATGGACTCCATCTCATCTCTTGATGAGAAAATGATGTGTCCTGGATCAGTCAACAAGCACACTTAGCACTAATGAGGAATGTCATTTGTCTGTACATCTGTACCTGCATAAGAATTCATTATCTTTTCATCAATACTGAAGACTGACTTACCAATCACCACAAAACACCTTCATATTAGGCTCAACAACAAATGTTTACTGCTTATGATAACCATATACCTTTCCTTATATATTGTGTCTCCCCTAAACGTTTTAGGTACTTTTCAGAAAACAATAAGGGATATTAAAGTCAAGATCCCTTTCCTATATAAATCATGCAAAATTATTGTTTAAATGTTTTATCCCACCCCAAATTTTTCAAACATGTTACAATGAACACGTGTATTTTTGACTGGCCTTACTCTTAACAATCGTGTTGTTTTAAATATTAATACAAATAAATAAATCAGAGTGAATCTTTAAAGACACAGAAGAAAATAAAAAAAGAACACCTTCATCGACAGGAAAGTCAAATTATTCTATTATATCTAAACTAGCCCTAGTCTAATCCCTTTTGAGACTCCTCCTTGGGACTCATTTATATCGGACGTTTGACAATGTCCGTCCGACGAGGAACATTGTCAAACGTCCGATATAATTGAGTCCCAAAGGAGAATCCCAAAAGGAACTAGGCCTAATCAGTCGCCACCTGTTCATGTCCATGGGCAAACTTGTTAACATTCTCCTAATTCACGTCACTACATTGATTGTGGCAACCCCATTTTATAGATCTGTGTCGGTTGGACACAAATGTTTTAACAATATACTCACAACGGACAAATCCCATCTTGCAATGAGTCGCCAGCTCCTTCCATGTTTATAAAACGAACGAAACACATGCGTTTACATTCAATGATCCAAGTCACTATTACGCCGGTATTGTGAACAGCGAGAGCACCTGACCAAAAAACGCTTGAAAGACATGGACTTTTTCGGAACTTCTCTAGACTTTACCTCTGATTATCCTTGTTGGGTTTGTCGTTATAGCGACAGTTACAAACTAGTCTGCCATATTTACCCGAAGTAACACGCTTACTCTGTTGTCAAGTGGAAAAGAGGTGCTTCTGCGTTTGTAAACAGGGATCATATTGAACAAAAATGGCAGTTCCATTTTCAAACACAAAACTTAGAGTGCCAAAAGGTTTCCAAAACATTCTCGAAGGTCTCGCACGGGAAGTATTGAGAAATCAACCAGAGAACATTTTTGAGTTTGGTGCCAAATATTTTGACCAGTTGCTGAGAGTAAGAGATGGTAAGTAACCTTTCTTCTCTTTGAAGTATCACCAACGTTACAATATAATGATGATTAAATTGATTTACCTCCACTAAAATGATATGAAATGGTATAGGCACATGGATATAGGCATTTCAGCTGTGCAATATTTTTGTGTTGTGTGATCAAATTTTGTGTTAAGCAACGTTCAACGTAATCAGTTCTTTAATGGGTGACTGCTCACTTTATCCAATGTCATCCTAAATGGTGTCTTCTTGGAGACGCATTCAGTATCATATGTTACTTTCATGCAAGCAGCTGAAAAGGTTGTACCGCTTGAACCTTTAAGAAAAAAAATCAAACAGATCGGGAAAGAGACTGGACTGCGAAATATTTGCACATGAAGATTGAATGGTCCATCCCCTTGCTGAATATGATTAGTTTTTTCGGAATTTCAGCATAAAACATGGTCTTCATGGGTTCTCCATTTTCGTGACAAATAAACAAATGGCAGTAAGATGGGTTTTTCGTTTACATCGTTTTTGAATAAGTTGGTGACTGGGAAGCTACGTTTGTTTTTCCAGAATTATTATTGATGAAAACGTTTATTACATTATCTTTCCACAACATCTCAGACAAACAACAGAAATAACTACACCAGATCAATAGCACAATCACCTTCGCAGTGTACTGTAGGGAACTAGGATATAGGGTATATTTTAATGGTATATTTTCTATAAATGTATGAGAGCTCTACAACACAAAGTTGGTTTGTGATTACAAATGTGGTTGTGTTGTGTTCATGTACCAAAGATTAGCACTTGGATTAGTTTTACTATATTTCGATGCACCTTACAATTTAAAGTGACAGTTAATGAGTTATGATTAATAATTTTCCTGGTGTTGGTTCTGAGTTCTCTAAGGAGCCCATACTTGTGGGTACAGTGCCGTTGTAAATATTTCTTGGAGGATTTTCTCCTTCAGGCACTGTTAATTCTTTAAATATGGATCAACTTTCTGGACAGGGTCCACTGATCATTATCTTCTCTATGCATGTGAATACTTTCTATGTGCATGATTTGTATGTGGAAACTTTTCCTGTGTAAATCCACTTTGTAATGACTGCAGTTTTGTTTAATCACTGGTTTATGATAAGCTGTCTTTTTCTCATGTTAAAAAAGAGGAGAATTTGGAAGGAAATTTTAAGGAGTAATTTGCCAGTATTGGGAATTTGGCTCAAATATGAGAATAATTTCATTATCAGTCCAAAAATCCTCTCTAAAATTGAAGTTCTGTTTTGATTATCTCCCTTTCTGTAGTAAGAGTGGTTGATACTTATTAATTGAGTGTTGCTTTGAGATCATGAAGTCTTGGGATCCATTTAATTTGTCTAAACTATAATTGTAATTTAAACAATTTGCAGATGAAACTAATTATTAATTATTTTCTATTCTTTGATCTACATTAATGTAATATTGTTAGACAGGCTACCAGTTGTATTAAGAAATACTCACTGCCTTTTTTTACTAGATTATCTCCCTTTTATATGAGATAACATTTACTGTGAAGAAATAAGATATCCTAAAATCTCCCATAAAAATTTGATAAGAATTCAATACAAATGTGATATAGATAAAAGAATTATGAAGTCAAAGTAAGACGATAGTTTTGAGTAAGACATTTCTTTTATGTCCGTTATCGGAGTAAGTTGATATAACCTGGTGAATTGCAGTTTCACCCCAGTTTATAAACATATTATATTACATTGAAAATGTTTCACGATATTTTTTAGGGAATCATTGATAATTAGATGCAAAAATTTCATATTTAAAATGAAAACCTGAATTATAAACCTGCTATATATAATGAATTATAAATGTACTCCATCAGCTGAGTGACTGTGACTGTATTTAATACTATATACAAGTCACACAGACCCGTCAGCTGAGTGACTGTGACTGTATTTAATACTATATACAAGTCACACAGACCCGTCAGCTGAGTGACTGTGACTGTATTTAACACTATATACAAGTCACACAGACCCGTCAGCTGAGTGACTGTGACTGTATTTAATACTATATACAAGTCACACAGACCCGTCAGCTGAGTGACTGTGACTGTATTTAATACTATATACAAGTCACACAGACCCGTCAGCTGAGTGACTGTGACTGTATTTAACACTATATACAAGTCACACTGACCCGTCAGCTGAGTGACTGTGACTGTATTTAACACTATATACAAGTCACACTGACCCGTCAGCTGAGTGACTGTGACTGTATTTAATACTATATACAAGTCACACTGACCCGTCAGCTGAGTGACTGTGACTGTATTTAACACTATATACAAGTCACACAGACCCGTCAGCTGAGTGACTGTGACTGTATTTAACACTATATACAAGTCACACAGACCCGTCAGCTGAGTGACTGTGACTGTATTTAACACTATATGCAAGTCACACTGACTGCCAGCTGAGTGACTGTGACTGTATTTAACACTATATACAAGTCACACAGACCCGTCAGCTGAGTGACTGTGACTGTATTTAACACTATATAAAAGCCACACAGACCCGTCAGCTGAGTGACAGAAACAGTATTTAACACTATGTACAAGTCACACAGACCCATCAGCTGAGTGACTGTGACTGTATTTAACACTATATACAAGTCACACAGACCCGTCAACTGAGTGACTGTTACTGTATTTAACACTATATACAAGTCACACAGACCCGTTAGCCAAGTCACAGAAACAGTATTTAACACTATATGCAAGTCACACTGACCCGTCAGCTGAGTGACTGTGACTGTATTTAACACTATATACAAGCCACACAGACCCGTCAGCTGAGTGACAGAAACAGTATTTAACACTATATACAAGCCACACAGACCCGTCAGCTGAGTGACAGAAACAGTATTTAACACTATGTACAAGTCACACAGACCCATCAGCTGAGTGACTGTGACAGTATTTAACACTATATACAAGCCACACAGACCCGTTAGCCGAGTCACAGAAACAGTATTTAACACTATATACAAGTCACACTGACCCATCAGCTGAGTGACAGAGACCATATTTAACACTATATACAAGTCACACTGACCCGTCAGCTGAGTGACTGTGACTGTATTTAACACTATATACAAGTCACACTGACCCATCAGCTGAGTGACAGAGACTGTATTTAACACTATGTAAAAGCCACACTGACCCGTCAGCTGAGTGACAGAGACCATATTTAACACTATATACAAGTCACACTGACCTGTCAGCTGAGTGACTGTGACTGTATTTAACACTATATACAAGTCACACAGACCCATCGGCTGAGTGACAATGACTGTGATTAACAAGTGACTGTGTGTACAAGCCACATTGACTCACTCATTTTACGCTTAGTCAGTTGCACATTTTTCATTTTTTTTATTAAAAAAAAGTTTCACAAGCCTTTAGATTATTTATATAATGGTAAAACATTAAAGTGAAGATTAATTCTTCAACAAAGCAAATTCTGATGATGCAAAATCATTCAGTCGGCATTCTACAGTATAACCTGATAGTTTTGTAACTTTTAACAGTTCTGAACTCTTTATAACTCTGAAGAACTATGAAGACATCGATATATCAAACATTCCACAATAAACAAAACTAAAGGATATATTCGTTGATGTATTCTCAGAAATTCCCCCACTGGTGCCTCTATCAATCCTACACATGTAACCAATTTTCCCTGTCTGTCTATAATTGTGCACCCTTCACTTGCATGCTTCTATCGTATATTTTTTGTGGTTAGAACACAGTGTACTCCTCAGATTAATGTTTCTGACTGGTCACAGAACAGCTCCCATTACTTAAAGGAGGGTACTACATTGTTATAAACGATTCAATGAATAGTCTCACTTACTGACCGACTTGTGCAGTAACGATGGAATGTGGGGTAGTATCTTTAGGATGACTATTATTACTTGCGCGAGCAACATCACCGTGTGATTATCACAATAAGCTTGCGCAGTGTTGAAGATTCCAGATATTTTTTACGACACTCCAAGACGACTGTTAGAATACTGACTTCATATATTTTGTGTATGCACTATGTAGTCGTATTTCAGGGAAAGAATTTTGATGCAGACATTTGAAACCTCTTACTGCAAATTTCATTGGGTCTTTAGATAATGTACTGATATAATAAATGTCAGCTGCTATGATTCAATATCTGCTGTTCTGCTGTGACTTTTCTTCACCCTGTTAATTTCATACAGCTGGAAACAGGCTGTTTCCGTAAGTTAAAAATGTGTTATTTCCCCAAAATGAAGACAAAATCAAGAAAATTGTCCCAGTTTTATAGAAAATGTATTTTCATTATTTTATACAGGCTGTAAAAGTCAGGTAGAAAAAACACTTTGTTAAATTTGACTTTTCATGAAGGTGAAAAATGGGCATTATTCAAGTCTGATTAAGTTAAGTCTATAAAAACATCATCAAGTTTCATTGCTAATATTGAAACGTCCTAAAATCACATTTTTTTTGTACAATTTTCGCTGAAATGCACAAATTTCTTTGTTTATTTCTTCATTTTGAATTGATTGCAGATTTGTTCTGGTCTAGGATTACGTGTACAAAATATTGATAAGCTTTACACAAGACCATCGATGAGAAAGAAAATTTGTAGGTTTTTTCTTTCTTGTAATAAGATTGAAGAGTGTTTTACGAGACATGTCAGACAGTCATCAGACACAGACTGGCACACATTTCATTACAGGAAAAAAAATAATAATATTAAAAAGAAAATTCAGGTGACATTAGAACAGATCTTAAAAATCCCTAAACTCTCTCAGAATGTCGATAAAACACCATGAGAACCTATCACAGCTAACAAATGTGAGACATTTTTGTATGTCTGTTAAAAGAACTATTAAAGAAAGTCAACACAAGCAACATATACCGGGAGTGTATAATTAGCAAGAGGCAAATGCAGAATAGAATTTGCAAGCACTATGTAGGTCCTTCAAAATAATATG